TCGGCTTGGGGTTCAGGGGTTCAGGGTGAAAAGTTTCGGGTGTAGGGTTCGGAGCTGAAGACTAGTCTTACAGCCGGGCCAACAGTTCGGGAAGGGTCCTTCATCATGGGTCCTAGTTTGGAAACAAAACATGTCGAGAAGCCCAACTCTTGAAGCACCCGTGCCTTCATCGAGACATACCAATCAATATGTCCGACCGACCAGAACAAGACCGAGATTTGTGCACATACAGTAGTTACATGTACAAGGACATATACATGCACACGGATGGATATGTATGTATGTATGTATGTATGTATGTATGTATGTATGTATATGTGTATGTATAAATATATATATATATGTATGTACATATATCTACAATGAAATATTTTTACTTACTGATTTATACTTATATATATGTATATATATAGATGCACGTAGGAATACATATGTGCACATGTACATATGTATATGTATATACATATATGTATGTGTATATATATATACACATGAACATATACATACGCAATAAGTGCATACCCATGTATATGCTACACATATGTGTACATATCCAAAATAGGCAGTAGGCATAACTAAATAAATGAATACGCAAATAAAAAACAAACAAACAAACAAAGAGATATATATATATATACACACACATACATACACACACACAGAGAGAGAGGATTACAAGTAGTAACGCTTGGATGCCCAGCGGCATAGAGGCCAGCCTCTCGCTCACGCACGAAATACTCGAGGCCTTCAGAGTCAAAGGGGGCTTGGAAAGCTGACGATTCTTGGCCTTAGGATTGTAGGACTTAGGGCAATTTAGGGTTTAGGGGGTGCAGCAGGGTAGAAGGGACAACTCTAACTGATTCTATCTCATGCATCAATTACTACGAACAGCAGGGCCCTGGAAGCGGTCGACAGCTCAGGATCGTTGCAGAAAGTGTTCTTCAGAAGATCACCACTACTAGTTGTAGTCGTGTTCGAAAGTTTGTGTGGTAAGATGGTGATGATGGGGATTCTGATGATGGTGATGATGATGATGATGATGGTGATGGTGATGACGATTACGACGATGACGGCCTCTTCCCCAAAGAAAAATGCCGGGCGGTTCTGTATGGTAACCGGCAGCCATGATGCACTAGAAAACATGACATCTCCTGTTGGCCATGCGCGACACATAAAGAGGAGAGCTCCTAGTGATGTCCATTCTGGTGTGCAAGTGAGAACACGCCGAGTTCACGAGGGTTGATGACGTTGCAGGGACAAGCTCGCCCCTGGTCTCTGTAAGCAAACGCTTCCAACCCTAAGCACCACAACCACGTCACCGATCCTTCCAGGCCTGCAGGTACAGCCTCCCCCAAGGCAGCCTTTGCTGGAGCTCTTCCAGCGGGGATCCTGCAGAGGGGCGGGGTCTTAAGCCAAAGGCTGCAGGAATCCCTGCTCCAGGAGATGCGCTAAAGGCAGGGAAGTGGGCATCCTGCTCCAACACCCCTGGTTCACTCCAATCTTCTCCCATGGTTTGTATATGTTGGTATCAAGGAATCCGGAAATCTCTCTGTTGACAATGGGTCGACGACACTACTCACTAGTCACATGTCGGATGCACGGATGCCATGCGGACAAAAGGTTGTAAGCTGGTGTCTGCTGGACTTGCCGGTCCCGACGCCACTCATCAGGAGCTGGTTCAACATGTCTGCCAACCTTAGCTCGCTCAAAACTCTTACCGTGCTGTCTTAACTTCCACTGTCTACGTAACGCATACAACTGCTCTCTTGTTGCAAATCCAGCTGTGCATATCTTCCTTCCCGAACCGAAAACCACCTCACCTGTCCAAACCGAGTGTCGCCGGAGTGTTAGTACTATGCACAGAAGAACAGTGAGCAGACTGGTCCGAGTCCTGTCCGCCCTCACTACTGTCATCGGTATCATCGAAATGCGGACATGACACTGATAACGAGCATACTATTGACAAGGCCTTGAAATCCTTCTGGCGAGGGGGCTCTGCGTCCTCGCAATAGAGCCCATCGTCGGAGTCGTCGTCGATAAGCCTCGCTGGCTGGCAGACTCAACGAGGATCCCACATGCTACAGCTTGATGCGGTGACTCTTACAGCGTCTTGCGCGCAGCTCATGATCCCAGCTTCCGTCGCAACGTCGAGCGAGCTGTAGTTACAACGATGGGAGCAATGCAGAATTCAGTCGTCGGCCTCTCAGCTTGCGAACTTAGCTACAGGTTTGAAGAGTTTAGGGCATGTCTTCCATGGCTTCAAGATTCAAGACTCTCCCCTTCCCATCGCGCACCGGGAGAACGCCGCGAAGTCGCATCCTTGTGGCTCACATAGGACTTCCTGAGGCATATGTTTGCTCTTCTTGGAACGCTACGTCTTAGAAAGCAGACAGTCGACTTTAACCAAAAGCAGAGGGACCTGTCTAGGCCCGAAGGCTCGTCTTGGGACTCCTAGGAGCCCCTCAGACCAGAGCCCGCCAGTCACTGCAGGTCATTGCTAGGGTTTTGGGTTTAGTTTTGGGTTTTGGGTTTAGGGTTTAGGCGGTTGATAAACGTAACTTGATCCGAATCCGGCTCGACCAGTGACCGGAGGTGCTTAATGGAACATCACAGTGATTACACGAGGATCTTCAAGACGACTTGCAAGAACCCTAATACTAACAATAACAATAATAACGATAATACTCGCAATAACACTAGCAAGAATCACAACAATGGAAACACTAGTAACAATAGAAACAATAACAACAATAATAATCGAAACAACAATGATAACAATAACAACACTGATACTCATAATAACAATAATCATCAAGAGAGCCGGCTTCAAGTCTTGAAGAGAGGGCCTGGAACCTGAGAGAAGCTGGCGAAGTGCAGAGACATCTGCTTTTTCGCATCTCTACCGGGGTTTCGGGTTTAGGTAGGGTTTCGGGTTTAGGGGTTAGAGTTTAGGGCGTTTAGGGTTTAGGGCCAACCTTGAAACCACGATTCAACGATTCTGTCACACAAGAGTGATGCTATCGTCCAATGCACGTTGTCCTGTGAAAGATTGCAAGCAGCCCGAAGACAGATGGGTTACGAGCGCCTTACATGGGGGGAGGGGGAGACATGGGAGACCGACCACAATTGAAGGGTACGCCAGCCTGATGTAGAGGAATACTGTGCGACCATGGCTCGAACTCCCCGGCCCAGTCTGCATCGGTACCTGACATCGTGCGGTTTAGGATGTTCACCTGTAGCGGGCTTTTCCCGAACTCTCCAGGTGGCAGCCTTGAGCCCAGTTCGAAAACTGCTTCGAGACCCGGCCTTCGAAGCCTGTCATCTCCGCAAACTTCTTCATTTCGGCTCGATTCAGACGCCTCGTTTGGATGAGAGAGAGAGAGAGAGAGAGAGAGAGAGAGAGAGAGAGACAGAGCCACGGGAAGAGAAGTGTCTTATCACGAGACTGAGACGACGAGAGGCGAAGGAAGCGGGAGAAGGGGAGACGCAGAGCCCATGCATCGGCACCAATGCAGACGGTTCCCATTCATTGAAATCCTTGAGCTTTCCTTTTGCGGCTGTGGAGCCTGTCGCCGTCTTGGTCCAGGCAGCTGAAGAGCGTCGATTTGACGTCGGTGCGTGCCCTTGCTGAGGCAGTACTCTCAAAAACTCAGAGTCCCACTGCGCACAAATACTCCTCCTTTTAAGTAGGAGGGCACCAGTGCAAACTCCTGATCCTACGGAAAACCGAGTCGCATGGCGAAAGGGTTGACGCCCGCAGCTCGCAATGCCTTCGTGGCGAACAGCTTCACGGTCGTGCGTTGGAACTGAAAATGGCAGATAATACCCTTTATCTATTTTTTTATGCTACCCTTATAGTATCCTGTAAATATTCTCATACTATCCTGATATTGCATTTAAACTGATCTCAGACTGGCCTTACGTCTGTAGCTATGCAAACCCTATCGGATACAACTGCTTAGCGGTTCAGGGCCCGTAGAGATGCAGTCGCCCTTTCCAGCTCTCTGTGGGGGGGGGGGGGGGGGGGG